TTCTTAAAAGTTCTCTTACATTCTTCGCACTCCATATATAGACTAACATATTTAAGTGCGCTGTTGCCCTCAACCACACTTGGAGTGGGGGGTCGTCCGTAGGTGGATTTTTGACACGGGTCTTGCCCGTGTTGAGATTGCGCTGGAACCCCCATTCCCTATACTACTTAACGAGAGTAGCAAGTATAAATATTTATCGAGTATTAATAAATTGTTGCTTTTTTCCTTTTTTCAGGATAAACGAATTATGAGACGCTTTGGTTACAGCTTTCGAGGCTGCCCAGCTCAAAGTCTAAGGTGGTATGGCAATTGGGGTCCACGAATTACAGCGATTCCTGTCATATGCTCAGAAGGGATCATTGAATTGAACATTCGTCGAGGAACTACTGATGAAGAGAGTTTCCTGGCATTTGTAAATGAGAAGCTCATCCCTAATCTACAGCGGTTCGATGGAATTAATTCGCGCTCTGTGGTTGTTATGGGTAATGATTTTTATCATGACTTCATAAGGGCAGACTTTTATTTCATCTTATCATGTTAAGCAAGGTTTTTGTTATCTTACAGATAATGCTGCGATTCATCGCTGCCGTCGCGTTGTTGAAGCTATCAATACCACTGGTGCTCTAATCGTGTTCCTTCCAGCTTATAGTCCAGATTTTAACCCGTGCGAAAACATTTTTTCTCAAGCAAAGAGTTGGATTCGAGCTAATGATGTTGTGTGGCAAGTGTGTCATGATCCAGAGGAAATGGTTTTTGAGGCCTTTATGCAAGTTTCTGATGTAGACATCAGAAACTATTTACGATTTATTGGGTATCTATAAAATCCATTCTAACTTGGGGTCAGTGTTATCTTGACAATTTTCCCAATATGCTATAGACTACGACACAAGATATCTCAAAGTGTAAAGCCTTTTAATGATTAATTTTTACAATAGGTGATACTCTGTAATTAATTTGTAAAACCTTCTGAGTAATAAATTACATCATTGCTCGGTTCAATTAGTTTTATTGAGGTCCTCCAACATCTTCTTTTTCTTCTCTTGAAACTCCTCGTTGCTAATGACATCGCCATCCCTCAGGTTCTTCAGCTCAACTAGTTAGCCAAGAATTAGTCCTCGTGCTTTGATCTATAATAGTAAAAACAGAGAAAGCCGCGTTTCATTTATCAAAAAATGTAGAACAAGAACTTTTTAAAATGAAGTAACACCAGCAAAAAAGATTACAAGGGCATTTCAAACCTGCGCTTCGTTTACTCCCGTGGCATCCATTTCTCGTTTGCTGGGTTGTGCTGAGGTAGAACACGTGGAAGTCGATGTTGATGACTTAACTACACCTTTAGGCTCTGTCGCAAAAAACGAAACATTTGGTGGCACTGTCTCGTCATCGTGACTTCCATTTACCTGAAAATAAGTATGATAATAATTTACTTAATAAACTCGTAAAATTTGTGTGCAGATAATGAGTTAAAAATAACATTTTCTTACCAACATTCTTGCCCAACACTTTATTTTAAAATCGGCCATTTTTGAGCCATGTTCGGTTTGGCGTAGTTTTGACAAATAGCTGTTGAAGCGACTATCACCTTCTTTCTTGACTTCTGTTTCTACAAAATAATAATTCGAGGAATTATAAAAGAATAACGAAGGAATGTTTATCGTTTTTTTAGGGCTTGGGAAACAAAGAACCCCTACATTCTTCTTCTTTTCCCGTGAGCTGAACTTCAGTACTAATAGTTTTTCGTTGTAGCAAAGTCATTTTTTAAATTAAAGTAGCGAGCAAGTTCATAATTTATTCGATTTAAAATAGTTTTTAGAGCGCACGTATCAATATGCCGAAATTTTCACGTGCGCTCAATGCGTAGCCCAATTAATATTTTTACAAACCGTAAATCCTTTTTTAATTTTAGTTCTTTCTTTCTATTAAAAAACAGATAGCTGCAGTGTTGAAAAAACATAGCTAGTTCCTTTATAGACCTTTTAGTTTGACTGTCACTCACTTGTTTTCTTGTTTCCCGTCGGCCTAAAGTCAAGGCAGATGAGCTCGTCGTCGTCAGCCGACCCTCGTTTTCCTAGAATTGCCTTTCCTTTTGGAGTAGACGAAGGAAAGGGATCCAACCAAAATGTCACGTAGTTCAAACTCTCTTTCAAGTATGCCTCTTTCAGGTGTTCGTTTGTACGTATGCAAAGCTTTCTCCTTCTTGGTCCATAATAACCTCGTTCGAAGCCATTCACTTCTTTGGCCGGGCTTATTTCAGCGGCATGTTTCTCTAATAAATATATTTTAAACATCTCAACATCTTTAAATATTGGCACCTCTCTCAAGGAAAACAAAGAAGACTGGTTTTTGTTTTCCAATTTTAAAACTTTCAGCATAATATTCACACGTGCCGTTCCGGTGTCCACGTTGAATGTTTTGAAAATCCCGCCTCGTGGTAAAGTGGACTTAAAGCACGTGATTCTTAAAGGGTAACCATGAACCTCCGCGCCGCTAGCTTACTGGCTTTCACTCTCCACGGGTGACTAACTTTCTCGAAAAGGGTGTACATTGGTCCGCTACAGTTTCAGAGATCTTTTGAGATTTTATTTATTTCTTATTTCCTTATTATCGTTATTATATTTCTTTCATGATCTACGAAATATTTTACGCACACCATCAGTACCATAGATAAGCGAAATCATGCACTTTGTGGTGGCGCTTTCTATTCGTCGCTGACAAAAATAGTTGGCTATGCTATTATGCCAAACTCATCTCGCCGTAATCTTGGGTGAACAGGGTTTTTCAAGCTTCTCGATATTTGAAAACATGGTTTCATAGTCTTGCGACTTGAAATGCTTTAAATGCATATTGCGGTTCATTCTGATGACTGCCAGTGTTTGAGCGGAAGGCATACAAAGTCAACCCATCGTTTACGTCTTCTTTCGCTTCTGGGCGATCATTGTTAAAGAAGGGAGTCGTATGCAGACTGATGCCTTCTTTCAAGTTGGATTCACTCTTACAGTGAGTTACAACACAATATTTACGCATTTTATGAAACAAAATAACACCTAACGAAATTTGTACATAACTTTGCAATACAACAGGCCGCATGACATCTCACCCCGATGACGTATATTTTTCTCATAACAGGACTCTTTGTGACACGGTGCTGTCATGTTGTGAGTAAGTGGGCACTAGTTTTTTTGCGTACTTTAAAACGCCGCAAAAGCTTAAGAATTACTCCAAAATGGGAAAAAGATACAAAAAAGCATTACTGAGATATTGAGAATTTCTTTCAAATAGGGAAAAAATTACACTTGAGGTGCACTTTAAAGGTGTGGTTATGGAGCTTTTACATACCTTTATTCAAAATGATTAAAGATTTTAAAGCCTTGTATGTTTAGCTTTAAAACATATCGATTAAAGTTTAGTAGTGGAGGCTGTAATACTTTCGTTTAATGGTATACTAAATGTATGTAATGGTACCTTGCATTACGTGAGTAAAGTATAGTTAAACAAATTTAAAGTTATCTTTATGATCCTTTGATTATTTTATTAAACATTAGTAAAGGGAACATAAACTACCTTTAATTAGCCTTATTCATGATAGTTAAAGGTACCTTCATCATTGTTTATTCACTTAATTTGAATATCGGTAAAAGGAACTTAATATACCTATAATAAGCCATATAAATGATAGTTAAAGGTAAATTTATGCTCTCCCTCTAACTTACCCTACTCAAAATAAGTGCTGGAAATACTGCTTTGCCTGAGCTTGGTTTACTGGGCTAAGTAGACACTGATTAAGGCAGGATTGAACGGTAAGGACTATGGGTTAAAAACCCAAAGCCGGTTTATTAAGTGAATAAGTTCAATCAATTAATTACAATACTTTAAATTCTCTAAATATTAACATCTGGCCCAGCAAAGGTGAGGGCGACTACAAACGCCAAATGCATCTCGAAAGCCGAGATGCAGCCCCACCCCAGGCAAATGCAGTAAATGAACCAGCATAAAATTTATGACAAAAAAAATTGAGTCCTATATTCAAACAAATAAAGGGAAGTTAATATATCACCTTGAATTAAATGGAACAGTTAAAGACACCGCTGCCCTTGCAAGGCAGTGTTAACTGACCTATTTTATGAAGAAAAGGTCTAAACAACTCTGCCCTTACAAGAAAGTTATAATAAAGTAAATATTAATTGCTCATATCCGTACCTCACAGAATTAAATTTTTTGAATTACACAATTGACAGGACAAACACTGCTGCCCTTGCAAGACAGAGAAATAGATGGGCACAGATGACGGCTGCAAGCTAGACTCCACCGGATTCTTTACTATACCTGCCAATTTTGTGGCTGCAGCTAAAGGGGAATTACTGTTCGCTCTGGGTCCATGTGGGCTGGAGTAAGCTTCTTGAAGTTGTGAACCTACAAGCGAGACAGACGGTCGGCCAAAGTGTTAAAAACACGTAGAATATGCTTAGCTCGAAATAAGATGTTATGTTCAAGGCAAATTGGCACCAATTTACGAACAAAGAACATGAGCAGCTTGTCCTGGAAGGACTGCTTATTAATAACATGGACTAATGCCTCATTATCGGTAAAAAATTGAACGCAACGATTCTGCATTTCAGCTCCCCATGAATATAAACTCAAAACAATAGGATAGAATTCAAGAAAAGCGATATTTCGACCAAGCCATTTGCGTGGCCAAGGCCCATAGCACCAATGGCTGCCTAGTATGGCCCCAAAACCAAGGGAGCCTGCTGCATCTGTATATAATTGCAATTTTTGAGAATTTACCCAATCTTCATCCAAGAAAAAGGATTTCCCATTGAAATTACGCAAATAAGTCAACCACACATGTAGATCGTCCTTCACGTTTGACGTAATTCTCACTCTGTGGTGGGCTGCTTTAATTCCTATTGTAAGATCAATAAGCCGACGAAAGTAAGCCCTTCCTGGAATTATTACCGAACAAGCAAAATAGCTCTTATCGTAGATGAGCACGCCACCCCAACAAACCAGCGGTATCGTGATGAATGTAGCATCAAAACGAGACTATCTAGTCGAGCTTCGGATAATTTGCTAAGACATTTACTACGAGTCTTCGAGAGATCACTACATTTTGATGGATATCTTTCATATACAAAGAATTTTGTAGGCTTTCTAACTTTGGTCAAACACTACTTTTCTTTTGGATGTACGAATAGAATTTTGAAGGCAGAAGGCAAGGAATTCGATCGGCATTTGCCATTTTGTAATTTGCCACAGAAAAGCCACTGAGAAAGAACACTCCAATTAACACAATTTCTTACATTTGTATCAACAATTTCAAAGCTAAATGCTTTTTTAAGCCACATGGAGGATAGGAGGATTTGTTTGAAGCCAGTATCCATGCCACAAAGTTCGCTTTTACCTTTAAAAAAGCCGTTGAGATAGAAACGGAGTGACCGTTCGTACGGCATAATAAACGTAAACATATTGCAAACCTTTGATTTGGCAGTCGGCTTTTGGTAATTTAAAAAACTTGAATCGAACTATTCTATGTTTGTTAAGAAACAATAAGTGATACAGAAGAGCTTTACTAGTTCATATTCCATTAAAGTTTGGGTAATGTTTATGGTCTTTTATGCTGGTCACGAAGTTCTTGTTTTGAAGCCGTGTGTCAGTATAGTTTGCTAGTCCATCGTGATCATCGAGTTATTCGGCGCTTATTTCATAGCCGTACACTTATAAGTGTTTAAAAGCTATTCGCTTTCTATTTCTGAACGAAGATAGGATAGTTAAGATTCGAACAACTCTTTTTAACATACTTGAGAACTACAGAACGAAATTGACTGCCGTACGAATAGACTCATAAGAGCCCTCGTATGCAGTGTTTTACTGAGAACCTCCTCGCATAGTGTGGACAGTATAAAAAAAATATTGGACTGCAAAGATCTCGGCTTCAAATCAATYATCTGTCATCCCAGTGGCTTAATAAAGCATTCATGTTCGAAATGCCAACTATAAATGTAAGACTTTTTGGTAACTCAGTTCTCTCTACGTATTTTGACTGATGAGCCATACACTTTTCACAGTTGTCAATGGTAGCAAAGCCACGATAATTCCTTGCTTTCTTCCTTCAAACTACTGTTCATATATCCAAAAGCTATATAGTGTTTGACCATAGCTAGAAAGCCTTCAAAATTCTTTGTATATGAAAGATATCCATCAAAATGTAGTGATCTCTCGAAGATTTTTAGTAAATTTCTTAGCAAATTATCCGAAGCTCCACCCGACAGTCTCGTGTTGATGCTACATTCATCACGATACCGCTGGTTTGTTGGGGTGGCGTGCTCATCTACGATAAGAGCTATTCAAAAGTCCTATCAAGGACTGAAGCTTTACCAAAGTGACCTTCTTACGCCGAAGGAAAGCAGAGATAAGAAAAAATAGAAGATAGAAGAAATCTTAAGCGTAGAACGTGCAATTCACTCCACTGATGAAGTAAAAGTCTCGAATGTTCTACAGGAACTGGAACAACCCATAGGCATACAACGGTCATAATAATAAAGGCCATCCCATTTCATTCCCAACAAAGGGTAGTCAGATGATTGAATTGGAATTATACGAAAAGCATATCCGTTTTTGCCAAAAAAACAATCCTTGCCATTCTGTTTAACCAAACGTATTGCATCCTCAATGGTGGCATAATGGACGGTTGTGTTTTCAGGGAGAATGCCGTCATTTACTGAAGATCCGTTGGGAAATGACAAGTGATGTATCATTCGAAATTCACCCGGGGTTTTCTTTGGCACCACACCCAAAGGAGAAACACGAAATTGAGGAAATGGTGGGGAATGAAATGGTCAGCCAAACGATGGGCATTCAGTTCCTTTTTAATTTTTTCTAAAACAATGTCAGGATAATCACGGGCGCTTAATAGGTTCTCAGCCTCAAAGGAAAGGGTTTCCCCTTCAAAATGTAGAGGAAAACCCTTTGTAAACCCAGAGTATAAATAATTAACTAAAGATGGGGTATACCCAGAAAGGAGATTTAGCAAACGATCAGCTCTTATTGGTGTTGGGAGGCTGGGATCTGGTATTAGAGGTTGCTGGGGTTGTTCTCGTGGGGGGACGAAAATTGCACTGCAAACCACTATGGTTGCGTTCACATTTGAAACAAGCATGTTTGTTATCGCAACCTGGGCACTCTTTCCCCTGATGGAATCGACAACAATAACCCCTAGGGATTGCAATTTTCTTATTTGCATTGGGTGCAAAACTTTCACTAGTTGACTCGACACCTTAACATGATTCAC